CCCCAAAGCCCCAGTAGATAGTTATATGTCATAGCTGCACATCCTTCTAGTTGCTGTATGTGGGACGCCGCCTCAGCATGGCCGGAGAAGCGGTGCATCAGTGCGCGCCTGGGATCTGAACCCAGGCTGCCAGCAGCAGAGCGCGCGCACTTAACCGCTAAGCCAAGGGGCCAGCCCCCGACCTGTATGTACTATGAATGAGTTTTTTTTTGGCCATCCTGACCCTTTTATTGTTCAAATTAAAAAATAAAAGAAACTTAAATACAATGGTGAACATAGAGGACAAAAGAGAATAATAAAATCTAACGTTGAATTAAACAGTGAGCTGAATGTTTGGGTCTCCAAATTGGGTAACCCAAAATCACTTAAAAATGGGTATGTTCACAGTTAACAGTAACTGGCTTATAGGTAAGAGAATGGTCGAAGTTGTTTCAGTTGAACTTCCAGGGAAATTTCCCAAGAACATCCTTTAATTGTTGCTGACATTCACTATTCAATCTGGCCAAAAGTGTGTTGATTTCTTTATTGCATCTAATTGATGCCTGAATAGCTCTCTTATCTTTCCCAACAGATCCAGGAATAGAAGGTTGTGATGCAAAAACAGCAGCTAAGACACCTCTCTTTGCATGCATAACCTATCAGCCAACAATTCCAATCCTAGGTACATCCCTGACAGAAATGTATACATACAAGAATGTTCACAGCAGTATTATTTCTAATAGCCCAAACAACCCAAATGTCCAATGCATAAGTAAATTATGGTATACTCATGCAATGGAATACTATATAGCAATGAAATACTATACAGTCAAACACAACACAGATGAATCTCATAAACATAACACGGAGAAAAACAAGCTATCACACAAGAGTAGAGTGTATGATCCCAACAAGCAGGCACAACAAATCTAAGACAGAATAGTGGTTTCCTTCGGGGTTGTTTAACCACAAGGAGGAGGCATAAGGGAGATTTCTGAGGCACTGGTTAAGCCTGTGGTACAGGTAAAGAGTTCACCGTGCAGGGGCCGGCCCCGTGGCGTATTGGTTAAGTCCAGCATGCTCCACTTCGGCAGCCCAGGTTCACAGGTTCGGATCCTGGGCGTGGACCTACACCACTCGTCAGCCATGCAGTGGCAGCGAGCCACATACAAAATAGAGGACGACTGGCACAGATGTTAGCTCAGGGTGAATCTTCCTTACCAAAAAAAAAAAAAAAAAAAAGAATTCACGGTGCAAAATCCATCAAGGCTCTACAATTATAACTTCTGCACTTGCCGGCACATAATATTATACTCTATTTTAAAAGTTTACTCCTGGGGCCGGCCCCGTGGCTTAGCGGTTAAACGCGCGTACTCCACTACTGGCGGCCCGGGCTTGGATCTGGGCGCACACCGATGCACTGCTTGTCCAGCCATGCTGAGGCCGCGTCCCACATACAGCAACTAGCAGGATGTGCAACTACGACATACAGCTGTCTACTGGGGCTTTGGGGGGAAAAAGCGGGGAAAAAAAAAAAAGGAGGAGGATTGGCAATAGATGTTAGCCCAGGGCCAGTCTTCCTCAGCAAAAAGAGGAGGATTGGCATGGATGTTAGCTCAGGGCTTATCTTCCTCACCAAAAAAATAAAAAATAAAAAAATAAAAAATAAGTTTACTCCCCAAATCTATTCATTCTCTCAGCTCACTACAACATCCAATGGTGGAAACTCATCTCCACTGGCCTTTCACACTTCCTCCCGTTTCCTTCCTCTGATTCCTCTGGCTAATCTCCTGCTATCATCCTCTACAGTGGGCTTCTCAGGGGTCAGCACACACTGCTCTTGCTCACACCACATGCCCTGAGAGCTCGTTCACTACCATGGCTTCAACCACTGGATCAGCAACTCTGTCCCGTTCCATTCCAACCACCACGCCAATCCTCTCGCAGAGGAGGGGCATGTGCTACTCACTGCACATGAGTTTCTTTTCTTCTTTCTTCACCCGTAAACTATGGCAATGGTTTCCTAAATGATTTTGCTGTAAGTATTTGCCACCTTCCATTTCACATGTCAGTGAATTTCCTAAATTAAATTTCCTAATTAAACACATTAATATTAATCACATTAATTAAACATAATTAACACATTAATTAAACACATTAATTAATAAATATTAATCCCAAAACCTGTAGGTAAAATGTAATATAAAGCTGGCATTCAAGTCCACCACAATCCACTCCCTAACTACACGTCCAGTCTTATCTCTGACTAGTCACTTATCTGCTCTAATTAGAAACCATCTACAAAAAATCTTTTTTGGCAAACCCACTGTCCAGATTCCTATTTCAATGCCTTTCCTCATAGTATTCTCTCAGCCTAGAAGCTTCTTTCCTTTCCTTTATACCTGCCCATTCTCCATTCAACATCCATATTTTACCTCAACTACTTCAGTCCATGTTTATCATTACTTACAATACTTATGGCTGTTATTATTCACTTTGTACTTAATCTTTACCATTGAGTTATGTGTTTTATGTATACAATTGTAAAATCCTCACAGAAAAGGACAATGTTTTATATCTCAGATATATAAAATCACAAGGTTAATAAAAAGAGGTAATGGTATAGTACTAATAATCAGCCAGTAATCTGAAGAGATTTTTTTAATTTTTTTTTTTGGTGAGGAAGATTGGCCCTGAGCTAACATCCGTTGCCAATCTTCCTCTTTTTGCTTGACGAAGATTGTCCCTGAGTTAACATCTGTACCAATCTTCCTCTATTTTTTGTATAAAGGACGCCGCCACAGCATGGCTAGACAAGCAGGGTGTAGGTCTGCGCCCAGGATCCGAACCTGTGGACCCTGGGGCCGCTGAGGCAGAGCACGCAAACTTAACCACCACGCCGTCGGCCGGCCACTGAAGAGATGTTTAAAAATTAAAAAAGTATGGGCCAGCCCCAAGGCATAGCAGTTAAGTGCGTGCGCTCCACTACTAAAAAAGTAGACAGCCTCTTACCAAATCCAAACTGCACAGAATAAGTTTTTATTTATTGTTATAATATTTTGGCTTATTTAAGCCTACTTAGTAAATACTGGAATCAGCTGAACAGAAGAAAAAGAACTAGTAATAGCAAAGTCATGGAGCTCTGGAAAGAGCAGTCCTTGAAAGAGTAGACTATGTCTCCTAGCAAATGCCACATGAGAAAGTAAGACGTGTCTGACTTGATTATGAGCATAAGCACGTGGACTGTAATTAAATAGATTACAGAGTCCTGCTGGCAGGCAAAACGTCTTTTTTTACCCCCATCACAAAAATACCTAAAGCAATATTGGTCAGAAGGTAACCAATCAAATTAATAAGTTAATGAATGAGTAAACAGATGTAGGGCTGGTACTAAACTTATGGATTATTATTACCTTGTTATGAATTCACGCAGTATGTCCAATACAGGTTTGCCTCTTCCCAATAGATAAATGGACATATAATGTGGTTGGTATTGTATGCAATCAGAACAACTATTCAAAATTATTCTTAGGAGCTTACAATTAAAACACGCATTTCCTTAGCAGTATATTACACACAGGTGGTTTTTTTGGATTTGGGGTTTCTTAATAAACTTCATACAAATGTTCTAAATTTAAATAGTGCTATCAACAGTTTCTACACCAACGAACAAATAATAAGATGCTTAGGGCTAATTTTATATTAAACTAAAATAAAGAATAACTATTTTTGATTATTAAATCATATATATTTAAAAAGAGAAATTGATCATTTCTATCTTTACTTTAGAAAAAAACTCAGTCATATTTTCTAGTTCTTTGTATTCAAATGTCTTTTTGCCAATATTTAAAAGGTGCATTAGGGCTGGCCCCGTGGCTTATCGGTTGGGTGCACGCACTCCGCTACTGGCGGCCCGGGCTCGGGTTCCGGGCACACACCAACGCGCCGCTTCTCTGGTCATGCTGAGGCCGCGTCCCACATAGAGCAACTAGAAGGGTGTGCAGCTATGACATACAGCTATCTACTGGGGCTTTGGGGGGGAAAATAAATAAAGTTAAAAAAAAAAAAAAAAAAGTGCATTAAAAATAATGCACCTTTAGGGGCCGGCCCAGTGGTGCAAGCAGTTAAGTGCACGCGTTCTGCTGCGACGGCCAGGGTTCGCCAGTTTGGATCCCGGGTGCGCACCGACGCACCGCTTGTCAAGACATGCTGTGCCGGCGTCCCATATAAACTAGAGGAAGATGGGCATGGATGTTAGCCCAGGGCCAGTCTTCCTCAGCAAAGAAAAGAGGAGGATGGGCAGATGTTAGCTCAGGGCCAATCTTCCTCACACACAAAAAAAATCATAATAATAATGCACCTTTAGAGTATCCATTAAAGCAAAGTTTTAAAATAATTACAATTTCCTTCTTCATTCTCTCACCTTCAGTTATCATTCAGCTGTCTTTTTTCTGTGCGTTATTAATACGTGTTGACTATGCGACTGGCCTGCTGTAAAGGAGAATACAGAGAATAGCACATACAGAGCACAACGCCGCAACAGAAGGAACTGAGTTAGTGCCATACCTGGGTTATTATTAACATGACTTCTGGGTGGTTTCTGCACTGGTTTGGGAAGGGGCGATTCAGCCAAAGCCTTATTAGCAACAGCTTGCTGGGCCTTCTTTATACTGCTCCCTTCGGACTCCCACGTCTGCTCACCAAGACTCAGCTGCACTGAGAACATCTTGGAAAAACATAAAGAGACAAAACATGAAAATTTTTCAGGAAACAAAATGCGTCCTCTGAGAGAAAAACAGATACACTATAGGATCAAAATGTTAGAGCCAGAGGTAACCTTACAAATCATTTGCAACAAAAATCTTATTCTACTTAGTGAAAGAATTTTAAGAGATTGTGCCAAATTGTGTACTATCCTATCCAAGTGCAGCTTTAAGTGTACATTTTGGGTAGAATAAATCAAGAAGAAATTACTTCCCTAAATAGAATCATATTGTTAATGTCATTCAAACAGTCCTCAAAAGAGTACAGTACAAACAGAAGAGAAACTGTAAGAGAATCCAAAAGGCCCTGTCTTGGTAACACTTTTATAAAATCTAATCTCTTTAACTTTATACTTAGCACAGTCTAGTCAATGAGTCAGGCAATCCTATTAAATATTATGTCATCAAGAAACTCTCAATCCTCCACCACCAACATTTAACCAGTCACCAAATTCTGTCAACTTTAACCTCACAAATATTTCTCCAATCTCTCTCCTCTCTCTGCCAGTGACACTGCTGCATTGGATCCAGTCTTTCATCATCTTTAGCTTAAACATAATCATCTCCCAACTGACTGCGGCTAAAACTGTCTCTCTAAAGCTCAGATCCAATCGCATCACCCCAACCAGCGCCAGGTTAAACATCTTTGATTGCTCCCGCTCTACCATGGCACAAAAGTCCTACCTGTCCATCTTCATCTCACACCAGCCCTTCCCCCTGCACGCCCTAACATTCCATTCACACCTTATTTCCATAGGAGCCCCAAAACCGACTGTTCACCTTCAAAATTTAGGATCAAGTTACAGCATACACACACAATCCACTGTTTTACTCCACAGATAGCTTACTACTTTGTAGGAATACAAAGTATTAACATAAAAATACTATTAATTTCAAAGAAATAAATGTGTCTTTGCAGGAGGGAGATCAGGTGGAAAATACCTTAACCAAGTGATTCAAGTTAGCATCACTGATAATCATACAAATCGACATCATATGCCTCCTGATATGATCCAATGACAAGTATGGACTATTTTTGGCCAAGATGTTTAACCTGAATCTAATCACAGGGAAACAATCAGACATTCTAGATTATGGTATATTCTGTAAAACAACTGGCATAAACTCTTCAAAAACATCAATGTCGTGAAAGGAAAAAACAAAACAAAAGAATGCAGGGGGCTGTTCTAGATTAAAGGACACTAAAGAGACATGAAAAGACATAATAAATTACAATGTATGATCCTTGACTGGATTTGTACTGGGAAGTATAAAGGGCATTTAGAGAACTAATGGGGAAATTTGACTATGGACTATATATCAAATAATATGTTCAGTCAAGGTTAAATTTCTTGGATGATGGTAGTATTGTGGTTATGTAGAAGAACGTCTTTGGTCTTATAAGACAGATATATAAATATTCAAGGGTGAAATACCATGATAGTTAAAATTTATTTTCAAATTGTTCAGGGAAAAAGTATATGTCTATATAGAAGGAGCAAGAAATAAAGTAAATGTAGCAAATAAATTAATAATTAGTAAATCTGAAAGATATATGAGTATTTATCGTACTTCTCGTTCAATTTTTTCTGTAGGTTTTCAATTTTTCAAAACACAGAGTTGGAAAATACTTACAATCACGTGAAATTCAAAATATATACATATCTATTTAAAGTGATTAATTTTTCTTTTATTCTGATTCAGTTTAAAATATATACCCCCAAAACATATCTTGAATACATTTACCTGATTTTAAGATGATTTTTCAATGACGAGCTCTTTTGTTTTTCATATCATAGTATTTAACAAAGAACTTTGCCACAAAGAACATCATGTCCTCCACTCTCCTCCAAATCAGTTCATACTCCAGAAAGTTCCATCAATTATTCTTCCATTAAGTTAGATTCAAAACCTCAATAGCGTCTTTGTCCATCCTTGCCTTCTGAAGACATTTAACAATATCTCAAAACTTTTCGCCGTAATTTCTATTATCACCACCTAGTCTACAGCCCCTATAAACTCAGACTCAGAATACTTCATTTACCCCGTCTCTAATTCTTTCCTGCCTCCTAATCTTCCAGATGTCACCATTTTCCCGGTCTTACAGGCCATACACCTTTGATTGGTCTTCCTTTTCTCTTCCATTTCTCTCTCCATTCTCTCCTGCATCCAATTATCAAACTATTGACTCAACTTCAAAAATGTTTGTCAGATCTGGCCTCCTCTCTTTATACTCTTTGTCAGTGTCTTAGTGAAGAATATCAATATCTTTCCCCACAACTACTACACGACCATCCTAACATCATTCCCTTAACATAAGACTTTCCCATTCAAACTATCCTGCTCACCACCATCAACATGAACATTCTATAAAATACAAATGTATCCAAGTCAATCCTTTGCTTTTCTGAAACCTCTCTTAAGAATCCCACTACAGTGTACACCTAAAACCACTACAATGTTAGATATATATCAATTATATTTCAATAAAACTAGAGAAAAAAATAATCCCACTACATAATAATTTAATAATTTCAAGCAGGAATCCTGGGACACTGTTTATGAGTTTAAGTCATAGTTTCACCATTTACTGAGTGTGTGTTAGGGAAGTTACTTATTCTTTCTCTGAGTTTTCTTACTTTGTTAGTGAAATGGGGCTAATAAGAACATAGGATGGTTGTGAAAATTAAAACAAAATGGTGTAAATGCCTCCATTTGAAAGGTAGAGACTGTCAAGCTAGATAAAAAAGCAAAATCCAACTACAAGCTACCTAGGTAATATACTTCAACTACAAAGACACATAGTTTAAAAGCAATGGGAAAGAAAAAATATATCAGGCTAAGATAAATCAATGAAAAGTCAGAAATGGCTATATTAATATCAGACAAAGTAGATTTCAGAGCAAAGACCATTACCAGTGATAACAAAGGTCATTTCATAAAGATAAGGGGGCCAATCAATCAATAACAATCCTAAATATTTAGGCAACTAATAACACAGCTTCAAAATATATGAGGCAAAAACTAATAGAACTGCAAAGAAAAATAGAAAAATCCACAATTAAAGTCAGAGATTCAATACCCTTTCTCAATAACTGATATAACAATTACTAAGCAGATGATCACAAAAAATATAGTAGACTTGAACAACACTATAAACCAACATAACTTGATTGACATTTTTAGAACACTCCACTCAAAAAGAACAAAATATACATTTGTTCTCAATTTCTCACAAAAGATTTACCAAGATAGACAATATTCTGGGCCACAAAACAAGTCTCAATAAATTCAAAGGATTCAAGTGATGCAAAGTATGTTCTCCGACCATAATTGAATTAAGCTAGAAACTAATAACAGAAAGATCTCTGGAAAATCTCCAAATATTCGGAAACTAAATAACACATTTCTAAATAACTCATGGGTAAAAGAAGAAATCAAAAGGGAAATTAGAAAGTATTTTAAATTGAATGAAAATGAAAACACTACATCTCAGAAGATGACACTAAGACAGTACTAAGGGGAAATTTCTAGCACTAAATGCCTTTACTAGAAAAGAGGTAAGGTCTCAAATACCTTAACTTCAGTTTCAATCTTAAAGTAGAAAAAGAAGAGCAAATCAAATCTGAGGTAAAGAGGAAAAAAGAAAGTAATAAAGGTAAAAGCAAACATTAACGAAATAGAAAATAGAAAAATAAAGAAAAAAGAAAATCAGTAAAACCAAAAGCTGTTCTTTGCAAAGATCAATAAAATTGGCAAACCTCTAGCCAGACTAATCACGAGAAAAAAGAAGACGCATATTACCAATATCAGGAATGAGAGTGGTGACATCACTACAGATTCTTAAAGTATTAAAAAGATAACAAGGGAGGGCTGGCCCCGTGGCTTAGCGGTTAAGTGCGCACGCTCTGCTGCTGGCGGCCCGGGTTCGGATCCCGGGCGTGCACCAACGCACCGCTTCTTGGCCATGCTGAGGCCGCGTCCCACATACAGCAACTAGAAGGACGTGCAACTATGACGTACAACTATCTACTGGGGCTTTGGGGGGGAAATAAATAAATAAATAATATAAAAAAAAAAAGATAACAAGGGAATATTTTTGAACAACTTTATGCCAGTAAACTCAGTAACTTAAGTTCCTTGCAAGACACAAACTACTAAAGCTCTTTCAAGAAGAAATAGGTAACCTGAACAGCCCTAAATATGTTAAAGAAATTGAATCAGTAGTTAAAAACCTTTCCACAAAGAAAACTCCAGGCCCAGATGGTTTTAATGATAAACTCTACCAAATATTTAAGGAAGAAATGATACCAATTTACACAGACTCTTCCCAAAAATTGAAGAATAAGGAACACTCCCCAACTTATTCTATGATGCCAGCATTACCTTGATACCAAATCCAGAGTAAGATACTACTAGGGAAAACAAAATAAAACTACAGACCAATATCTCTCATAAAGATAAATGTAAAAATCCTTAACAAAATACTAACAAATGGAATCCATCAATATAGAAATGAGATAATACATTATAACTAAGTGTTTTATCCCAAGAATGCAAGGACTGATTCTACAATTGAGAATCTATCAATGTAATTCACAATATAAAGAGATTAAAAACAGAAAAACCATATCACCATCTCAATCAATGAAGAACCACATGACAAAAATCAACATCTATTCATGTTAAAAACTCTCAGCAAAAGATAAGTAGAAAGAAAGTGCCTCAACCTGATAAAAGGCATCTACAATAAAAGCTACATCTAACATCACAAGTAATGGGGAAAAGCTGAATGACTGCCCGTAAGTTTGGGAACAAGTTAAAGATGTCTGCTCTCACCACTTCTATTCAACATTGCACTGTAAGTTTTAGCCAATGCCATCAGGCAAGAAAAATAAATAAAAGGCACTCAGATTGGAAAGTAAGATTTAAAACTGTCTTTATTCACAAATGGCATGTGGAA